ATCAAACCTTTGAGGAGCGATTAAAAACCAATTAAACAATAAAATATATTTCACTATTTAAATAAAGTGCTGGATAGCCAATACTTATGAGAAATTGGTTTAGAATAACATATCATGAAAGATGCAGTAATACTGTCAATTTTATTTTGGTGCGATGAAAAAACTGGGATGAAGTTGCAAAAAAAGCAATTTAAAATAAATGATGAAAGAATGAATATACCTGGCTTGGTTGATGAGCTGCGGCTTTCCGATATAGTTCAATTAGTCCTGTCTGTGTTATAATGAAGGTAGCTTGCTCACTAACAAGTACATCGACGTTTGCATCAATCTTCAAAAATGTGCAAAAATTTGGATGGACTATCCAGTAATTAATTTCAAATCGTCTAATTTTCGGGTAATAGTGGGAGGAATGTCAAAGGATAGCTCATATTCCTCAAAAAATGAAGACTAAGTTTCATTCCGATTTCTTCCTGCTCCTCTCTGTTAGTCACTATTACAACAATTAACCTTTTGCTTCCTGTTGGAATGAAAATCTGTCAGATACCTAAATTCCGAGATAATAAAAATATAACCTGAGCTTTAATCATTTCAAGACGTGAATCCGTGAACTGATAAAGTATAATAGCAGCATTTATAGCGGAAAGACAATTAAGAGTATAAACGGCAACATCAATAGGTGAATGAAGTTGCGTCGCCGACAACTGCACTGCTTGATTTAGTGGGTCCAAAACGATTGTAAAGATCTGAAAAAACACCTACATTCATCAGATTCAGATGCTTACTAATGAAATGTTATGGTCATAGTTTATTATGTCATATTTCATTTCCAATTTCCAAAAAAGTCATAACTGTTTGTTCATAGTTTCCTTTTAACCTATTATAACATATGGCAACAGCTTTATGCATGTAGTATGTCCATATTTAAGGCAGCTAATAATCCAAGAGAGCTGCCTACCTTCTCAAAATTTTCTTTTTTATCAGGCACAGCAGCGATGGCACCATCATGTGATTCCAGAACATCTTTAAGCAACGTCAGTACCTGATGAACTGCGGATACAGGAAGCAAATCATAATCAGGCGTACCCATCTTAAGTAAAAATTTTACTGTCATAGTCAAGTATAATCAAAAAATGTGCGTTAATTTTTGAACTCATCACAATTTAGAAGTCATTTTTGATTTAGTCTCGGATAAACGAGAGCAGATAATTTCTTGTTAAAGCTATAGAGATCCCGCCAAACTCCAAATGTACAAAGCATTCAGTAATCAGAACTGTTTTTCCAACATTCTCAGTAGCTACCTCTCTGTAAAATTGATTCTAAATAAATGCGTTTATTTATTCAAAATCTTTATTAATGGTTAAAAAGTAGTGAAATATTACAAAGGAATTAATCTAACCAACCTTTCCAACAAGCTTTTGAACTACAGAATGTAATCCACTAAAAAATAAATTTAATGTCAATTCCTTCAGCTCTTTAAAAGTTTGAATTAACAACGAATCCGAGTTCAAAGACGTTCTGTAAAAAAGAAAAGATATTTTGTGTAGCAGTCAAACATTAGAACCAACATATCTAGCGTTTCGAAAGAAATAACATATTTATAATTCATAAGTTCAACTTTAGACATAATACAAGGCATTTCTTTTGCATCTCTCACACAAACAACTCAAACAAAATTTATATTGTGCGAATGGTTAAGAACTCAAGGACAGTAAATAAGATAACTAACTCATCAATCTCCAAGTTCTGGCTTCAGTTAAGTACAGAACTAGCGACTAAAAGCTCAAATACGAAAAAAAAGTGGTCATAAAAACAATCTTTCTTCTCGTTCTATTCAGTTTCGCGTGCTTATTTTTGAAAAATTCCTTATTGACTTGCAAATCTTGATCTGCGTTATAGATATAAACCTTTAATTTAAAATCTAGAAAACTAAAGCTTTTTATATCTACGTTGATATAAAAACTTTTAATTTAAAATCTAGAAGATAATGCGGATAGTGCTTACATTATAGTGGTAATGTATTCAAAGTAAAACAGACTGCCAATAAATGTAGAAATAAAATCTTGAAAGTTCACAAATTACTTACGCCATTGTTTCGAGGTAGAAAGTAAAAAGACAAGACAATCGATAAAGCACAATACAATTCGTTTCCGTTACAAGAGCCTGTTCGACACGAACCTGATTATAAACATTTTAAGCAAATAAAGATAATGTGAAATTTTTTTAATCCAAAAAAAAACAGTAGCCAAATTTCCCTAGTATTCGAAATGAAAAGCAAAATTAACTGTATCATACTTTAAACGGGCGACAAAGTGCTTCGGAAATTTGGCTCTGTATACCGACGCAGTTTTCTTTTAAAACTGAAAAAACTTTAAACTATATTTACAATCTTAGATCCCTTATAGCGGTGTTACCTGATTCGGTGGGATCCATCTCTTGTGCTAGACAAAACAGCAAAATAGGCTCACAAAGCAACAAGTCATAATGCTGTCCACCCAATGTCAATAAAAGAGACACATAAAAACTGCACGTTCTATATTTTTGATTGATAAATTAATCTTTTATAGACCACTGTCACTAATAAAACACTTTTATTCTGTTCATACGGGAAGTAAAAACCCACTTTCTAATTTTTCTAATTTAAACCTTCGTAAAAAAAATATAATACCATCTAAGCTACATAATTTCAGCAATGTTTGCAAAAGTTCTCTTTCGGTAGCCATCGCCTGATGAATCCATGCAAGCATATCACCCACATATCTGAATTACAGAACAAAAAATGAAGAAATACTGAATCTCTGTTGGTGAACTACAAAAAAAGAAACTGATTTCTCAATAAAAAAAATTTTGTAAAAAAACTGTAAATTTGATTTGATAATCAACATCGCTAAACTGCAAAATACCTACCGATTTGCACTATTTACCATGTAAAATAGTGCCAATAATAACAAGAAAATAAATACCAAACAACCTACCTCAATGGGTCATGAGATAACAATTCAATTGGTTTGGGAGAACCTCCAGCACCTGAAAAAGAAAATAGAGTTTTAATGCCAGAAGTTGCGGTTAAACAAAACATACATTGAATGAAATTCAAATGTAATGAATGATCTGTCAACTGGTTATATTTGAATACAACTTTCAGAAATTTAAGCTAAAAATTACTCATTCTAAAGAAACTGATCGCTCACAGCATGTGAATACCCAAAGGAAATTAAAAATTTGTACATGATAGAATTCCTCAAAATTCCTCAAAAAAATAAACTTGTTTACATGACCTATAGAATTTAATCATAATATGCTTCAAAAAATACTCTGTTCCGAAATACAAAATAAAAAATGATTGCTAACAAGCAACCGACTGCTGTCAAAGATTAGAGAACATGCTAACATAATGATTGTGCTATGTATAAACTTATGAAAGAAAAAATATATTCCAAAAACAAATGAACCTCCTCGTGTCAATGCGTCGATATATGCTCGTACTACATGGTTTCTCCGTGCCATAGTATACTCATCTAAGGCATACTTGAAAAGCACTTCACGATCTTGAAGCGCTGCAACTGATTGTACCAAAACTCCTTTCAGTTCTAAGAATTCCACATTAAGTAATCGACATTCACCTAAAGCTATGTTCATGATTATGATATATATGCTGTAATAAAAATATTAAAAGAACTAGGAAAGCTGAAAAAGGATCTATCCCAAATTGTTAATAAAACATCCATCGTAAATTTCATTATAATACCAAAATAATACATCTCAATAACGTATTATGATAGATTTTGAATAAATTAAAATGAAAACGAAAATATACGCTGAATTGAACGATAAAGCACTTCATAAGCTTCTTCCAATTTATTTGCCATTTCTTCCATTATTTCCAACCTGAAAAACTGCCAATTACTATGATTCTTTATTTATTATTATCTATAATCTCTTATTTCAGAAAATTCTAACAAAATATAGTAAAATCATTTAAAGAAAATTACGCTGCAAGATGCTCTCCAGAAGATCGAAGAAGCTGTTTACTGTCATCGTGGATTTGCTTCACACGTTCTAATGCCGCAAAAAACTTTGTATCAACTGTGCCGTCTACAACAACAAAATTTGCAATTTCAAATTTAAAGGTTTAAGCCAAACATTTAATAAATCCAAAAATGCCCAAATAATGAAAGAAAAAGAAAGAAGAATTGAAAAAATAGGTGTCATATTCAAGATACTCCAACATTAAGAGAGACACTTATTAGAAAAAATAAAAAACCGACCAGTTTCGGAACCTTTCAAAGCTGCTTCCTCTTCAGGTGTTAATGAGTAACGATTCAAGAAATCATCAATTGCCACTTGCTTTTTCTCAAGTGTTCTCCTGAAAAAAACAAATTATCGCTGTAGATATTAGTTGCAAATACTGCACCACGGTAAATTTGAGAAAAAGCCTAGTTATTTTTACTTAAGATGTCATTGCCCTACACTGTCAAATAAGAAATAATTTTCATCGAGCAAAAATAAACATTAACAACGTATCACATCAAGCTCTCAGGAAATAATAATAGTTTGCGCAGAATACAGGTTTGGTACGAGAACGCTAAATTATCAATTCTTCTTTATGCAACATCTTCAAGTAATGATCAAATCTACTGTGCACTTATATTCAAAATTAAATCTGTTCATAGATCAGATCCAGAACCTTCTATTAATTAATACCTTCTATTAATAATTAATTAATATTAATATCTTCTCGGTTCCTTGAACACATGAGATATAACTAAATTGAACTTATTGAAGAAATTATTTTTCATTCTGCAAAGTCATCAAATTTATTGAAGAAATTACTTCTCATTCTGCAATGCAGCAGTTCTTGCTAATAAATCTTGTGTTTTCGTTTTATTTGACTGTATTTTATTCGTCATATCTTGACATATACTATTCAGCTGCTTAACTTTGGCCGCAAAACTTTGCACCCGATCATTTACCTGCAACATTTTCTTTCTTATTTGTGTTAGATGTAACATATGCATATGCCACATGTGCATATGCAAAACACGTCAAAACATTGTCAACAGAAAGTATTGAAACTTCCCCTCAGAATACCCAACAATAACATGAATTAATAACAGAATAAACAATAACAGAATACCCAACAATAACATGAATTCATTATTCATTGAATTATGTCATTGTTACTAATAACTTGTTTTACCCTTTTTCGTCACGTAAAATTGTTGATATAAAATTAAAAGAGGAAGAAATAATCAAATTATGGACAATATTTTGCCACATTTGTCCGATTATAACAATAATAAATTAAGTTTACTGAAGAACACAAAAAACTAAGATAGTAAATAACTACTAGTCCAAAAGTTTTCATATACTCCCGATTTGCTTTGATTTTTCGTTCTTCTAACTCATACATCAACCTTCGTTCCACATGAATATCAATTTCATTCACCATTGGTGCAACATAATCGATCATTTTCAAAAAATCCTACAAGAAAAAAAATAAACTAAAACAAAGAAAGTAAGACAATAAAACGCGCTCCATCATCATTAACTTCCTTTTCTAAGATCTCTTTATCAACTACTTCATTCCAAAACAAACCCACTAGTCTAAGATTTTAAAGTCTTCAAGCTTGTCATTTCTGGCTTCTAATTTTCTAATATCACATCAAAGTTTTCAAAGAATAACATTTGTGAAGCGTTACTAAATAATAAAAATAAATAATAATTGTGGGTTACAGAGCCTACACTATCAAATCATGAAAAGAGACAAGAATACATGTCCCCAGTTGTTCTGATCATCAGAATGATCAAATAACATTAGAGAACGTATTTTCAAATATTAATTCAGGCTAGAATTACAGCTTATTACAAGAATTTCTCGATTACCTGGTCGGTGTGTAGTTTCTGCGAAACCAATAATTCCACTTTTTTTTTCATTGGATTTGAAGAATCACTACTATTGCTTGATTTAATATTTACTCCGTGGGATGACATTTCTCTTTAACGATATAATTATTATTTGCAAAAATAATCCACATCATCAATGAGAAATCATCAGGCATCGAATCATTAAGCATAAACTTGATATCAAGCTTAACACGTCCCTCAAAACTTTTACTTGCCATCTTCTGACGGTTATACGCAATACCCCACACCTTCTATTGCCTTTAATTGATTCAAACTATTAAACGAAGTTTATTATCAGCAGAAAACCGACTTCAAAAATCCGAAATCCCCAACCACTGTTACATCCTCGTTTTGAATATTTACTTCAATAAAATATCCGAATGCAAAACATACTTCAACAAAATACCCGAATGCGAAATATTTAATAAAAAACTGGGAATTGCACAAATTCGGAATACCGGAACTGCCTGATGCATCGTATGTTAACACTACTGAATCATCTCACAGCAAGATCATCTATATCATAATGATCCCGTGTTAAAATGATGTATCAATTTTAAAATTTTGAAATTGAATTTACTGTTTGTCACATCGGAAGACACTGAATGATATGTTCCGCTATGCAAAGATCGCAATTTTTTTTTTTGAACCTATTTTAGCCTCCGAAAATTTACGTTTATCACCTCATCACTCACAATGATAGCAAAGACATTCAAATACAGAAATAAATGATATCGCACGAGATACCAACATTCACATCTAGTGAAATGAAATATTTTAAATACGTAATAGATTCTCGAATATAGAGCTATGCCATTCTTCATAGTTTATTAAGACGCTTATTACATCATACTGACATAGATCACTTCACTCCACGGTATGTAAATTAGAATTCATTTCGAATGCGTGAAATCATAGGGAAGAAAACATAGTACTAACTTATCTATATTAACTGTATATTAACGAGTAATAAACATGGCATCAGCTGAATGTCATGACACAGAAACATTTCTCACTTATTTGTATGGATAATGTTACAACAAAAGCACAAGTAGCAAAAGTAGGAAAGATAAGATGAAAATGAAAACATAAGCAAAATATGAAAAATTCATTAACATTCAAATCATACGGTTTCGAGGCACTTCATAATTCTCTCATATTTTCTTTAGGAGATGATCTTGTAACACTTGATGGAACCTTTTTTTTGTTGTTGTTTAACTCTAATTCTTTTCAGAAAGCAATAATATTTATTTCGGAAAAAAACAGATTATAAGTTCTATCGAAATGCTTTTTTGACATTTCAAAAAATCACAACATTTGGAAATATCATTTCGAAGTTTTGAACTATGCGTGCATTTCGTACACTAACAGTACTATCATGAGTGCGTAAAATATAACATGGAAAATAAAAACTAGAAAAAAAGAACATAAGAATATTAGGGATAAAAGTCTTTTGTTCAAAAACGACTTAGTTCAACGATTAAAAAGTAATTATTTAACTCGACGTCAAAACTCATCGACTTTTCCTTAAAGTTTAATGAAAAATATACGTTTTGATACAAATAACGCTCCAGTTTATGCTGGAATGTTAGGAAGAATACATAAAACTTAGCAAAAAAAAACAGGACAAACTGAAAAATATATCCAATAAAGACATATCAAAGGCTAAAGTCGAAGATCTACAAAATTGAACGGTTAATAAACATTTACGATTAATATACGTTTACGCTTTGCAAATAGATAAATTTAGTGTAATTTAAAATCTAATCACAATATTGTCAGTGATTCGTAGCTTTTCTAATCTACAACTAAAAAGACAATTGAATTTACATACTTTCTGGATAAGAGAAAAAACTTCAGTTTTCAGACATAAAACTAATAAACAAATATCTGATAAAAGTAAGTAATGCAATGAACGTAACAATGTGCATGTACGGAATGATTTAACCACATGTCATCCGCAAATGTTTACACATATGAAAAACGTAGCATCCAAAAAATCCCATGAAAGAATTAGTTATCAATCGTATTAAATTCAACATTGGAGAGATATAATACCTGGGACAATCTTACAAACATATAAAAATACAAAAGCTGTCGAGCACCTGGTGCTTCGTCAGTACTTCTAAAAATCGCAAATCGATAAAAATGGTTCGAAGGCGAACTATAAGACAAACTTCACTTCAATATAAAGTTGATCAAAATTTCGGAAAAAATAACTTTTTTCGAAATTCAAAGAAAGTTAGTTCTAAAAGAATCAGAAGTGAGACAAAAAAGGAGTCATTAAATGCATTCCCTGAGTTTAAACTTCCGACTGAATTCGATACTATTAAGAAGTTTTACTGAAATTTCAATTTCAACCTCTACGCATTAAAAATTCAGGTAAAGCATTTGTAATTTGGTGTCTTAGGAAAAAATAAAACGAAAACAAATGGTTTCTAAGAATATGGCGTAGAATGTAAAAAACTAATTGATGTAAATTGACTTTCTCCATTTATCCCACTACTATTCTTATTCACTTTTACATCATCCAATGCGGTTGATCTGAAAGTAGACAAAAATTATATTCATCCAAGAAGGATTACCTCCTTTTTTTACTTACTAAACATACTGGAATTTACTCAAGTTTATCAGTTAAAATACTATGATAATAGACAACTCTTTTACTCTGTACTCCCTAATTAATATGAGAAATCTATTTTAGAAAAAGAAAAGGCAGTAGGACGCGAATGGAGTCACAACAACTCCATCTGCAATGTTAAATCTATTCTTAAGAGAAAGGTTAAGCAATTTAATGAATACAACCTAGAAACCACTGATCAGCGATACACTAAAGAAAGACAAAAAACCATTGAACCCACCCGTTAGGCATAACTTGAACACATGGGAGCATTTTTGCAGATGGCTTGCAAACTTTGGAAAATATGCTCCACAATGTTTCAACATTGTTCATTTTTATATCAGATCAGATCTGATGAGATTTTAGAAATTAAGTTCAAAAACTGAATGTACCGTTATTACCCAACAGGATAATTGCAATAGATACATGGATATAAACTATTCCACTTTTTTGTTTCGATAATGATTTATATAATAAATTCGAATTTATGTCGAATCTTCTCTGAAAAAGGAATAATATCTAAGAAAAAAGAACATACGCTCTTCTGAACGAAAAAGGAGCTTGTGTGTGGTGCAAACAAAAAGAACTGTTTGATGAAGCAGTAGACCCTGAGGAATGCGAATTTTCCGATGCAGTCGGTGATGGTGGTCCCTCGTCAAGTGAAACGGTACGAGATGTAGTTGGCGAATTGCTCTGTCGAAATAATGATGCTTTTGCTTCACGCTCCACCAGAAAAACGTTTCGACGTGCCTCGATTTCACCAATCCTAGAACAAAAGTATAGTTAGAAAAACCATCATTAATTTTTCGTATTAGATATAAAAAACAATGAATGAATGAAATAACAGAGATCACTTTCAATATAAAGGTAGTACTATTCATTTTAAATACTTTCACAGCTGTTCAAATGCTTTGTAAAATGATTTACTTATAATAATTTTCAGAAGCTCACCTATCATAAATTAGACCATCGACACGGAGTACTTTTTTGAAGTAATCAATATTTTCTCTATTATCAAGATCATCACCCCAAACGAACGATATTAAACCAAATTTTCGAGCACGTTGTATCGGTGATGGATCTCTTAACAAGTCCTCGGTATGAAAATTCACACCCTAAAAAATTAACGGCAAATTACATTTCTAAATTAGATCACGTAAAGAAACGCTGTAAAAACAGCACTTCACAATCTTTTTCTCATCTCTTTTTCTTAAAACTCCAAAAGAATTCAAAAAAAGCATTCATCAAATATACAGTACAGAGAGTTCATCGAAACTTATAGAAAAAATAAATCCAAACTGAATTAAGGAACTACAGTTACCAAAGACTGCATAATTTTCATTATAAGAGTATGAGAAGGCATCCAAATATAAGATTTTTAACATTAACAATAAATGGACAACAACAGATTACCAGGATATCAATGCAAGCCGCGAAATTAAGAGCAGCATTAGAAGTTGATGAACGTAAATCAACAAACGGTTCGTAACGCGTTGTAACACCAACGCAAAGGAATAATACTGGATACAAATGTTGCTTCGCTGCCAATCTGAGATAAGTAACACATTATAAAAGACATAAAATGCTAAAAGATATTATTAGCATGGTTTTCATTTAAATGATTAGCAGTTTCAATGTTTGTTTGCTTTATTATCATTAATTTGAAACGAAATGAAAATTGCATATAATAAGGCAAATCTCTTGAAAAATCATCTTAAATAGTTCGACAGTTCAATTTCTGCTTGCTCGCACTTTTTCTAGAAACATCTGTTTCTTTTTTATTTTATAAATTACTTTATTGTTTGCACACATTTTTCTTTGAGAAATCGAACATTTTAATAATCGTTTACTTATTGAAAAAAGATTTTTTTAGAAAATAATTCTAACAAAGAGGATAATAACGCTTATATTTATTTATATAACCAGAAAAAAGCAGCAGCTTTACAAAGTACAAAACTTACAAGGCACAGCAATCAGGATCAAATGAAGAGAACACGATTCGACGATCGCCAGCATTACTGAATACGTCATTGAGAATAATATCAATATAATCATTGCGCTCGAAATAATTTTCACATTCATGCAATCCATTCTGAAAAAGAATATTAAAAGTTCCATTACTTCAATTATCAAACTCTATGCCTCATATGTTAAAAGCCACATTCTATCATTATTTGTACAAAAAACCTTCAACTTTCATCTTAGCAACAACTCTTACTCCTGTACTCTACCCGCTATAAAACGAATACTGAAACACGGAAAACAACAAAGATTAGCAAATATTAGGATAAGATGCCTTAGATAAGGCATCTTATCCTAACATTTGCTAATCTTTGATCTTTCGACTGCTCGAATAAGATATAATCAAGAAACCTTTTGCATCATTGGATACTTTATTTCGATGTTGAAGCCCACAGATGAATCAACTTGACGTAATGCATCTACCAGAGTCGGGAACGGCAGGCGTTCATCTTGTTCATCTGCTTCAGCACTTACTTTTGTGTAATTCTGCTTCGTCTGAGCCTGATTCGCTTTATAATGCTCCAGCTACAAAGTTTTCTCTCCTTTAAAAGCGTGTAATTTATTGATAATCTCAGCATTTCGATTGCAATGTATAATCACGGATAAAAGGGAAGTGATCGTGACATTCCAATTTCATATTTCTGAGCAGTCAGCGAGAGAAAAAGAGGTTTTAAAAAAAAACTTAGTGACAATTTGGTTCAGTTCTTGACATAAAGCAGACTCATGTTTAGGTGGATTCCAATGACATAAAAAAGCATTAAGAAAAAACATTAAAAAATTCAATAGTTATTCAATAATTATTTTCACAAAATTAAATAGACATACGCGAAGTAACTGAAGCTGTTTCAATCGCAAATCTTTCACAGCGATTTCATGATAATCATTAGCTGCTTCAGGGGGTTGCGTTTCCAAGCGAGGAATGCGACGTTTTGCTACAGTAACCAAAACGTGGAAATCATGAAATATAACAGCAATCTATAAAATCAATTAATTTTTCCAGTACTGCACCATTTCCAATATAAATCATAGCTAGTTTGATTTTAGACTTTCACATTTTATATTTATTGTGGTTCGTGATAACATTCTTTTCAGCATCAATTAAAAAAATCTCTCATTAAAGATGGACCATATCAAAAATTTACGAAAATTTTCAGCAGTATTCTATGTCATATTTCAAAAGATGTCAGGTTCTCTGTACTGCCTGAACTCAAAGAATTTCATAAATCTTTGAATTTGATAAACTTGTTAAATAGATTAAACACTCCAACTAAGTAAGCAAAAATATACCTTATCTTTTGAAAGTTGAACATCGAATTCAACATAATCAGCACCACGTTTTGCAGCAGTATTAAGCGAATGTATTGTATTCTCACGGCCTGCATTCATTCTGAAAAATTACATGGAAATGTTTGACAATAGAAAATTATTTATCTACTCATTTATAGGGATTGGATATTTTGTTGCTGAAGGTAGCCTGTATTGAAAATCTTAATTGTCTTAAGCTGTTGTGGCTATAAAAAGCTTTCGATTCCTTGAAATTAAAGCATCACTTCGATAAAATCTGGAATTTCAAATACTGAGATCACATACTTCGTATACGAATTACCCATACCCCTGTGACCAACTTCAAGAGGTTGCCGCTTCTTCCAATGTTTAGCATAGGTGATATCCATTTTCTGTACCGCACATGATGTTAAAAGTGGTCGAATGAACAAATATTCCACTGCAAATAGACATGTGAATATCCAAATTTTGTTTTAATGCTATAGGTTACTTTAATTCGAATATTACTTATTTACACTGGGAAAAGAGCTAAAATGTGATAAAGTAGTAAAAGTGGAAGCTATTTGACGAATAAACCTGAATGACTAGTTCAGGGACCCATAAGAAAAAATGCCTCACTTCCAGAAAAAAAGAAGTTGGATTTTGATCATTAAAGGAGAAAGTGTAACAATCACTGACAAAAAGCTACCATTAATTTGTCCAACTGGACGATTGTTCACCAAAAGCGGTTCACCAGCAACACCAAATGTACCGTGGAATGATGAAGGCAGTGCATACGCAATTGCAAAACGCTCCACTGATGGTCCACTTTCTTCGTCATAAGCAAATAATTCTATCCGGAAACCCTCAAACGTTTACGTCTAACCGAAAGTGTTAAAAACAACATGCTTAACGAGGGGATGACCGAGAAAAACCGCTTTTGCGCTAACGGCTTTCACGAATATCAGCGTTGCCCCCCACAACTGACTTGCATGTTGATTAGATCAGATTTCTTTCGGCAGATTACAGTATTCCAAATATGAAGGATATATTTTCAGGTGTTTCTCAGGTTTATTTAATTCATTTAATTTACTTCATAATTTATTTAATTTACTTCCAACTTTTTAATTTATTGATACCAATTTCAACATGCAAACATGCAAAATGAAGCAGAAATTTTCAAAGGCTAGTTAACTATCCAATAAACCACTTCTGATTGAAATTACTGCCTTCATCTTTGACTAAAGCTAACGGATAATTTGACTGCTGGATAATTCATTGAAACTGTATAGAAAGGGTTACAATTCCACCTCCATCAATGACAACAATGAATTCTTAACCCTTTCCTTCATTTGATTTTGCTAGAATTTAATTCCTAATGTACAACATAACTGCTAAGTTTAAGCAATTTCTTCTGCCAATTTTGAACAACCTATTATCATTTTTAGAAATTACAACCAGTTCTCTAATTCTCAAAAGTTTTCTGAAAGAATTTAAATTTTTTAATTAATAATGATTTCATCTTTTGTCACCCTTCCATGCTTCGAGTATAAATAATTTTCCTCGCGAATTATCTAAGAAATTTTAGCCGTTGGCTAATTAACTATTATATATTTACTTAGTCTTTACTTTACGATAAAAAATTCTTAAAATACACAAAAAATGCAATTCTAAAGAGAAAAAAAAATTTTTGTTAGAAAAAAACTTGATGCTAACAAGAAACTCCACCGCAACCGATCGCGTCCGGAATATAAAATAATCGCTGCCCACTTTAAAGCGATCACCGGATGGCGATTGTTCGCGGTAGTGTGGATCATCCGATGATAAAATCTGAAAATTAAAATTGCGGGTTGCGCACAACAATGATTTGACAGCTGTGCTTCATTCATTGCTGATTGATGGTGATAGGCGATTGTAATGGTTGCAGTAGTAGTACATGATATCGCTTTGGGGTTCACTTCTTCCATGGCAATCTGTAGGCTTTGAAAACAAAGCTTATAGTGGAAAAAGATATGTGTATGTATAATATGTATGTGCTGTGCAGATAACATTTCCATATCGCTACGGTTCATTCCTTCCTCGATTCTCACAGTATCATCCTCTCATATACGACCATGGATGGACACAACCCATCACGGTGTATTATATCTGAATTTTTCCATACCATCCATCATGCTGCAGCAAGCACATTACGGCAAAATCTGAAAGAGTGGCTTCCACTATGAATTCTACGTATGGTAACGGAACACTGTGACAGACTAATGACCATTAAGAGCACATCTTAGAAGGCGATGATGGAACTGAATTTATCATTTCCGCTAATGATTTAAGAAAAATAAAATTTCCAAAAAATTACCAAATGTCTTTTAAACAAATTTGACCATGTTTGTTCCCTTTTTAGCATAATTTCAGATCCATCAATGCTTAAGCAAACAGTCCTTCCTTTTATTCTAAACTGTTCAAAAAAGCACTACATTATACTTGAACAGATTGGCGCAACCATCGGAAAACACTGAAAGCCCAAAGTTTCTTTTTTCTCTAGAACTGAATAGATAAGGTTTCAATTCCATATCTTCCCTCTAATTTTACCTTTTTTTTAAAAGCAAAACGGATAAACGAAAATTGAAATCAATTGGAAATGAAAGTTTTCAGAAAATTTGATAGAATCCCACTTCTTCCTTAAAAATCAACTCAAAAATTCCGGTGACATTCGAAAAAAGAAATGGAAACGCCACTCTTTTTAAGGAATCAACTTATTAGTGACAATGAAACTATTAAATGCAATTAACTCAGCTAACGAAGTTTAGCAGATGCTAGAGAACATAAAACTTGCGCTTTGCTGGAATCTGATCTCAAAGCAAAGAAACAAAAAAAGTACTTGAATCTGAAAAAGGAAATAGGTTCTTAATTTCGCATCCCGAAAAACTGAATCCTCATTTTCAAACTATACTAAGAGATTTATAATTCCTACCAAAAGCCAACAACTTCTTGGATTTCGAATTTTCCGAATCATCTTAAAATATATTTCTATGCTTGTTCAATTCAAATTCCTCCAAATGTGGTTGATTTCAATGGCATTTGTTCAGAAAAGATAAATTTCTCCTTTAGAAGTAGTTAATCCCTGTCCTTGGGAAAATAATTGATCCGCCAGAGAATCTCAAATATTATAATATTAGAAAATTCCTTGTATATCAACCAAATTAGGTAAGCGTCAAGTTGAGGCTTTTGGTAGGAAAGGATTTATAATTTAAAGTTAAAGATTTGGTAAAAAGCATTAGGTTAGAACAGAAGAAAACCTAAGTAATACAGCACCCTAATCTGTGTCATACAAAATCCTATATTCATGAAAAATAAAATCTTTAGCTCCATCAATTCGCATTTCAAATCGCATGTTTCACTACAAATCTCTGCAAAAATGTTTTTTTCTTTTTTTTATGTAGAAAAAAAACCAATCCAATCGCATCTTTTTTTTCTCATACAGCTCAATTACTAGCGAAAATTTGAATGGTTTTTAATATGGTTAATGTTGTTGGAAAATATAAATGTGTGGACTTTCTACAATATCAAGTAGAGACTACGAAACATTTGCGCTATTTCCTATCGCTACAGGTACATTTGCGCCACTTGCGTCGATCTAGCAATCAAGTGGAGACATTAATCTTCAATGAAAACAGTAAAAGAATGGCCAGGAATACCCATCCAATTATTCAATACAACGCATCTACCGATGCAAGCTGAAGGAAACCTTCCTGAAAAAAAAATTAACGCTGGGCACCAGAATACTTCGCTCAATTAATCCCATTAGGCACTTGGCATTACAGACTGAATTATTAATGTATGGCAATCTGTTCCTTTTAAAACTTCAGGAATACAAATGTCGTCCACCTATTGCTTACGTTATTAGGTATGTTTGTATATATAAAACAAAGAATGTAACCTGATGGAAATGTAACCATAAAGTCTTGTGACTGATATTCCATGTCCTACTATAAGAGATCAACCATATAAAGCATCATGGAATGTAATAAACATATGTGGCGCAAATGCATGCAACTGCCAAACCTCATCAAATATTAAAATGAGTGTAATTTTTTTCAATAAGTATGCTCAAGCAATTCATCAAATATCGATTATCGGGGCAGCATTAAAGGTGAGGATTGATCTATTTTTCAACAAAAATCCAACAAAAACCCACTACTTAACTATTAATCTTCTATTCATTTAATTCCTGATGATTATTAGAAAATGTACAATGCAGATCTGTACAAATAATATAAGAGTGATTTTAAAAATGCGATAGAAATATAAAATCTTACAGCAATATGTGCTATCGAATATGACGGCATTACTGGTTCCATCACATCCTGACCTTCTTCGTTATCATCCTCATCTATACTGCCAGCCTGAAAAAGAAAAAAATACTCAAAATTCCAAGAAATTTGCCTACTTATACTACCACAACTAATTATAGATTTTCGTGTTAATGACGTGGGACTAACTGGCACAAAATATCATGCACTCTTATCACTATTTTGTGTACTGATCATTACAACTGTGAATTACTGCTTCGAGCTCAGAAAACTTGAATTGACTTTAATTTTTTAATATCTTAAATCGATTAATCTGAAGATGTTTTTCTATTTATAATGACAGCAGAAAACGCACGATCATGGGCCTTGTTCCTAAGATGATGAATATATACTAAAGAAGTGCAAGATTTGAGTAAATATGCAGGATTTGTTCAGGAACGAGAAAACTTACTGCGAGAATAATAACGGAAACTAAATAAATTTTATTTAAAAATCATTTTATCGACTAATTTTCCTTAAATATTAATTGGAGTAATGATAAGGTTAGAAACCCAGCATGTTATAAACAGAAATATAAAGAAGGAAAGACTATTTGAAAGGAACAAAATTTTGTTCTACATAATGTAATAATCTATAGCTTAAATTGAGAAAGAACAAACTTCTAAAATAACTAGATGTTCAAACTACATGTCAGATGTGACTGTATTATAGCCTCATTACTAAATCAAGTTAATTAGTCCTTAAGCAAACAATTATCTTAGACAGGTGGAAGATTTCAAAACATATGTTCCGTTCACAACGGTATTATTCAGCCACCTTCATATTAATGAGTTGCCTTGAATAGAGTTCGTGAGAAAAAACGATAGTGCTAAGTTCTATTAAATTTGGGCATAAACTGTACTACAAAAGACTAATTCTACATCACAAGACAACACCAATAACAATTTCAAAATAGCCTACGGCGCATGACCACGCTCGCCAAACAGCACGTTCTTTAAAATCGTAACTGAACATCTAAACTTGGAACAAATTACTCGTGGAAACTGCGCATGATGTACATCAACATAGTCTGAGATGTTAAGCTTCACTTCCCTTTTCACGATACGGATACAAACTTATGTAAAATTTTCCAGGATGCTGGGACATTTCTTCTTATCTAATGGAGTAAATGAAGATATATTAGAAAAAAAATATAAACTTTAACTTTTCATATCTTATAGAATGTCAGTTGATTTTCGCTGGCAAACACACTCTATCAATATCATTGCCAGTAATTTGTTTAATTCAGAAAAGTAGATGGAAACATCATAGCAAAGTGTGAAAAAATATTACCTCTCTATGTCTCAGATCGAACGGTGTTACTTTAATGCAGTAAGAACGTCCCGCATAACGTTTCTTATAGAATTTAAATGGATTTCCGTGAAAGCGAAGTAAAATTTCGTTCTGATTCTTTCCCACAAGTGAAGCTTCACTTATAAGTTTTTTGCCAGCTGGAAAAGTACAAATAAATTCCAGAGTTGTTCTAAAACTCAGAAATGGGAATGAACCGTTTCTCAGCTCATCAAACTCCCAAGACAGTAAAAACCTATTTTCAAGTACCATTTCTAGATCCTTTCCCAATGAGGACTAATTATATCATCCCTAACAGTTAATTATCTTTGACTTTGTACACTAAAATAAATGAAAAAATTTCCTTATTTTCTAGTTTCGATTTTCCAGCATAGGATACAAATATATTCTCTAGAAAATCAAAAGAAAATAAAGCAATAAAAATCTTACAACTCCAGCCAAATTTGTCGGTGACATGCAAATGGCACACACCCGAAAACGATTCAACAGTTGGCAAAACGGATCTGGGATTTAAAAATGATTCCCATTTACTAACGACCAATTCCTAAAATTATTATCTTTCCGCTCTCAGTTAAATACAAAACTGAGCACCTTTTGTTTCATTTTTCGGTCCTCATTCAAGTAACAAAAAAGACTTGCATTTTTCTCTTCTGCTTTACCACCATGCAAATAATATCCAATGAAATAACGGAATTTTACCAGATCTGATCCAACTTCCACTGCACCTTCCCAAAGTTGCCTACTGAAAAACAAACACATTAAAAATTCGAATTTTTTTATTAGAATCAACATCTGCAATCACTTTTCTTTTCAGATTTTAAATCGAACAAATACTATTACTGGAACTGATCCGACCTCAACTTTTGTATGTAAAACATTCTTTCAACTATTGCGTTTCATGCACAGTAAAGTTTACGTGTCTTATTGTAGTTATTAAAGCAAGAATATGTTATCTTTTCTATTTCTCTTCCGAGTTTTTTTTTTTTTGGAATCAAAACTTCTATAAAACTTTTATAGAAGCTGAGACGATATCAAAAAAGTTCACCAATAAACTTGGTTTTGAGTTTTCATCTTTCACCTTTGTAGGACATTGTTCTCTCTAAAACAATTTAATGTCTTCAAAAAATATTAAGTGTTCTTTCTAGCATAAATGAATTTCCATTTTAATGCCCTAAAAATCGCTTATAATAACTTTAAACCACACTGCTCATATATTTTCACTATAACAACACTTTAATTTCAAAAACATAAAAGCTAAACTTCAGTTAATCTCTGATATCACAAGTTTCATCTAAAAAGGAAGAGACTGACTTCTTCATAAAATACTCACATAACCATTTATAAAGATTTCATTATTGAATTCATTGATTTTCAGCAATCATTATACTAACAAATTACTCTTATGTACTATCAAACATGTATGCTTTTAAAAAGAGAATTCATGTATTAAGTGGCATATGTATTAAGAATGAAACACCGAATTGCTGTTTTAAATTAACTGAGATCGGATAATGTATCACGAAAAAAAATGGAAAGATCTTTCAAATTGCAATGAACAAAGTACGATTTTCTCAGTATTCAAATAATTGTCACTTAAAAATTTTAAATTTACTAAAAAGACAATAAAAGAGACAAATAACTAACGCAGAATCCGGATCCGGAAGTAAAGGATATGCATCGGATGGTATCCATCCACCTAAAGCTGGCAGTGAACCTGTAACAAATACATACTCCCATGGTCGTACTGATTCAACTTCCACCGAAAAATGAAGCATTGTCCGTGGTGCGACTGACATTTGTACAGCAAGCACTTGACCTGAAATTTAAGAAAAATTAAAGAATCACTTTGCAAGTACTTCCAAAAAAGTAGTCCTACTCATCAATTGTTCAATTCTTTTCCAATTTATCATTCAGATATCTCTAACACATCATTCTAATATATACTTACTACTACTGGTAAACCTCTGTGATAACTCCCTGAACTTTGAACTTATCTATAAAATCTTCATATTTTATACAAATTTTGCGAAACACACTATGCTTTTTTTTTCATCTATTTCACATGAATATCGATGAAATATGGTGTATTTCAATGATAATCAGTGTTTATTATTACTATTACGGGATTATCTCAATCTTTTTTTCCGGATCACAGTATTCCTTTCTTGATGTTAAACGAATAAATAAATATATGACAATAATTCCTTTAGCTTCACCATATCAGTATCTACAAAAAAGGAAGAAATGAACATAACCTGAGAGTTCTCAAAACAATTCTACATCTGATATACTGGAAAATCTCAATATCCTGCTCCATCACATTAAAACTCAACACCCCGCTTCATCCCATACCTATTCATCCTAACTACTGATAACACTAAAACATCATCGATAATGATTGAAAGAAAGATACAACAAACACATCCAATATAATCCTCACTAACGGAATAAATTCGATTTGGGAATGGCGAGGAGAAATTCCAACTTTTCAACATCAATTCCTTAATAATGTATGTGTGTGTGTGTGTGTGTGTATGTGTGTGTGTGTGTGTGTGTGTGTGTGTGTGTGCGTCTGTGTGTGTGTGTGTGTGTATGTATGGATGTGAATTGTGGGACGTGATGAACACGTGATCGATTGCATTGAGTGCTGATGGGAGAGAGAGATGAGAGTGGAGGCTTTGGGGGAAGCATAAAGGAAAAGGTCGATTTGCGCCGATAGGTAGAGCAAGCTAACAACAGGCAGGTTGAATCGATAGGATTGAGTAGTAGTAGTGGTAGTAGTAAATAGTAGTAGTGGTATTAGTTGAGGAGGAGGAGGAGGAGGATAAGAAAAGTTGAATTACAATTAGCATTAGTTGTTGCTATTAGAGAGGGAATGATGGAAGAGAGTGATAATTAAAAGGAATGAAAGTTTTGTATAATAAAGGGATAATAAATTATTATCATGAAATCAGGTCATTTTTCGGAAAGGAGAGAAATAATTAATAATAATCATTCAAGCTTTTCGATCAATTGAATTTCTTATTTATGTTGTACATTCAATTCCTATTTATCCACTCATTATCATTAATAAATAGCTACTTTCATTGCTTTTTTGTAGCTACACTTCCTTAATAGTAATAATATAGCATGTTGCTATCAGAACATGAAAGATCGAAAAGGGAGAAGGGAGAAGGGAGAGAGAGAGAGAGAGAGAGGGGGAGAGTGAGAGAAAGATGATATATTTGTAATGGAGGTATTAATCAAAAAATAAAATCAAAAATGGATAATGGCTGAGAGAAGCAATGAAATATTGAATGTTTTCCGGAAGAGAAGCTGTAAGCATTGGAGGTCAAGCAAAGGAATCTTTTCGTTATGGCATTTTGAACTGTTCAGATTGTGATAATATTACGATTGTGTTAAGCTATAATTAGGAGTGGAAAGAGTAAAGATTAAATTTAATTGAAAATTTGAATTCGATCTGTCTACTATTCCAAAATTTTATAAAAAAAGACAATAATGTGAAGTATTGTTTTCGTAGTAATTTAAGTGAAAATATGTTATCGTATCATCTATTGTTGAAGGAAGAGAAAAAAAAAACTAATATGGGGAGGAAAAAATAGAATTTCTTGATTAAGGAAAATTTCTGTGGCAAAACATTATGTGCAATATCAAAGATCAAAGTGATTCTTTTACTAACAAATGTAAAGTTTATAATATCAAACGAGCGAAAATTTTGAAAAAGTATTGCTGCTTATCATTCATTGTGCATATATTTTACTTCTTCTCCAATTTCAAAATATTGTGTAAACAAAAATGCTAATGGGAATTTATGAGACAAACATATTTATTTCTCTTTTCTTATAAAAAGAAAGATTGAATGCAATAGCAGAATTTAAATTTTGTCATTTTTATAAATGATTAATGTAGGCGATTTAGGGCTAAATAAAAATTTGTTCATACTTTATAAGATGTTGTATATTCCTTCTTCATTAGCTGATTTAATGGTAGAAAAAGAAGCGATTTTAATGCGACAAAACTGAGACATACCGTGCAGATAAGACCATTCAGTTAGTAAACAATTTAATAAAATGTCGTGAAAAAGTATTTTAACAATAAATGTTGGAAAAATTTTCCAAACATTATCAAAATAAAATTTCACTAAAGACTACCAACAGAATGGTGAGAAAAAAAGATTAATTGTGACATATTTAAAATTTGTTATTAAAAAATACTTTATCACAATGATTAATATAATATATCAATTCCCTTCATCATTCTATTTTTATCTGTTTAAAAAATACCACACACTTATTTCTAGATTCGAAAAAAAAATTTCAAATTTTCAAAAATTTTTTAAAATAAAGTTAGCATGCAAATAGCAAAGTGATTAATAATAGTGAGGAAAGAGCAAAGAGGAGAGAATTCATTTCATCAATTTCATTTCAAGTTTTATTTTTAGATTTTAAATTTGCTAAATAATGTGATGTGATGAAAGACGTAAATTCATTTTAATCTTTTATTCCAACGAAATAACTTCCGTTTTCTGAACTTTCCTTCCATTCTTTCCCTTTCTCTCTCTTTCTCTCTCTCCATATTCTAATTCAAATCATAATATGACATCACTATTTATGAATGTCGATGTGATGTTGCAATGATGTTGAGGGAATTTAAAAAATTAAATCATAGTCAACTCTTCAAATACTGGCAATAATCCAAAAAAAGCTTTCTAGTTTCGACATCAATGCTTATTGATATTAGCCTACTTCCATGCCGAAATTCTTGCCACTTTCTTCCTTTTTAACCCTTCTCTCTTATCTCTCTCTCTCTTTTTTTCCCTCTTTTTCTTAACTATTCATAAGATTTATCTTATATTATTTAAATTTCCCCATTCATTTTTATCATAGAATATTTAATTTTGTTCCTGTAATTTGCAATTCTTTCAATGAATAAGAATTCAAAATTTTTTTAAAATTAAAATTCGAATTTGTTTAAATGCAGCAACTATCTATCATCGATCGAATCTATTTCATTTTTATATATCAATTAAATATTTGAACAAAGTATTAGTTGAAAAGAAGAATTTGAAACGAAACTTTCAAAGAGCAATTAGCTGAAACGAAATGAAGCAAGAGAAATGAAATGATAAGCTACCGATAAGATGATATCAGTTAAACAACTCAATAGTGACAATAATAACAATGATAGCAACTTATTCAAAACATATCAATAATTTATGTGAAGAAGAATGAAAACATGAAAGGAAATATGTAAACATTTTCAAATAAATGACACATTTAATATTTATTGCTCAAGCTTAAGTGAAAGAATTTTGCCTGGCTGATAGTGATCTTCTTATCTGATAGAAATATGGAGGTCAGTTTAAATGTTTCATTCTAATTATCAAATTGGAATGATATATGCCATTCATCTGTCATTAAAATGGCAAATCACATTCTCTTATATTCTTCATGTACAACGTAAATTTCTTATCTTCCCTTTATTATTATTATTTTTTTTCACTCAACAATTTATTTTTGAAAGTAAACAAAAAAAAAAGTAGAAAAAAATGGGAAATGGATGAAGTGAAAAAACAAAAACAAAACAGTTTGATCGATAGGAAATAAACGATAAAAAGATAGAAATATCCTTCACTTATATGAAATTTTTTTCGTTTTAGGTAAGGAAGCTTTGATCAGATGGAATATAAGGATTAAAATTGAATTTCTCAATTATTATATTAATCTTTGATCAGAATGGATTAAATGAGCTTATGATGTTGTCAAAGCTAAACAACAACTTTTACATTTATTATTTATCGGTTGATTTTCGAAAACATAAAAATAAATTTCTTTATAGCAGTAAATTTATTGCCAAATTTCAGCAATAAACTTTCTTTTAACTCAATGGTAGTATGTATTTCTATTGGAATTCATTAATTTTACTTAAATTCACCGATTTCATTCATACTTAAATTAGATCATTCTGAATTATGGCAATATATTCTGATAAAGTAGTAAGGTATATTACATAACATTAACATAATTTCTAGAAAAAAAAATAAAATGATAGGGCTAAATAAAAAGACCAAATTGAAAATATAAATTTGACTTCAAAAAACGAAAGCAATCGTAATACGATAGTTATCAAATACTTACCCTTCAAATTGAAAAGATTAAGTAAGGAGGTGAAATATTGTTGACACTACTCGACAACTGTCATTTCGTCATTGGTTATTTGAAATTTGAAAAAATTTTGAAATTTCAAAGATCATTGTTGCTTAATGAAAGATTCATTTTACAATCCAAAAATTATACTTATTGGCAATACAATCGTCGTAAAAAATGACTCATTAAAGAGTTCCGAGCAAATGGATGAGTTGATTCTATTACAATTTATTAATCATTTAACTTTTGAAAAGGGCAACTGTTCAAAGAAAAAGAAATATTATCAATTAACAAATGATCAACGGAAAGTACAATGTATTTTACTTTGTTTTTCTTTTTTTTTTGTGAAGTGAAAAAATTATGCTGATATTTGAGATGTAACCACGTTCATTTCATGTGTACTGTTAAATTTAAACACCAAAATATCATCTCTTGCTATGCATGCAATTTGCTTTTTATTTTGCGATAAATTTGAAATTTAACAAAGAATTATCAATTACGATATTTTCATATTAATTGGATGGATAATATGCATCGTTCATTTTTCTTCCAATTTTCAGCATCATTTCAATAATTAACAATTTTCGGTATTATTTTAATATTTAATAATTTTGCACACAAAAAAAGAATGGCAAGAGAAGTATGTCACTGTGAAATGCTCAACTAAAGACAGATGCGCAATAAATCATTGTATAAAATGATGATAAAGTGAGATTTATTTATTTGTCAGAGAATGATATTTGAAAACTTTCAGAAGTAATATTCAATGACCTTCAATTCATCCATAATATTCACTTTCTGCTTATTTTCAACTTATCGTCCTTTCTTTCATTTATCAGAATGGCAATCAAGAAAATTTGATTATTAGAAGATCTTTAATTTGCCCTTACACTAACAGACCACTATGAATAACTGTGCATCGATTTCTCGAACTCGTTAACCACTCAATTTACTTATTAATTTTTTAATTTATATCAATAATCAATAAAAAATAATTATCAATGCTAACAATTAAACTAACATTTAAGTAAGATTATGAAGAAATATATTACTTTTAATAGCTCCTCTGAACAAATTCGCAAAAAGCCCAAAATTTGTATTGCAAAGAATCATATTCGAGAGTTGATAATGGTACTATTGAATGGTACCACACACAAAATGCAAAATGATAACTAACGTGAAGCACTACCACTGATTATAAAATTTTTATGAATTCCTGAAAAAAGTCATTACTTATTTAAACAATCAATGAATCGGCTTTATTTTATACTTCAACAAATTATAAATAATAGTTTCAAATAAATCAAAGAGATAATTGATGTATTAGATTAATTTCTAAATTCTAATCAATATGTTTATTTATCTATAGGTTCCTGGAAAAAAGTTCGCTTTTTTTGCCGTTCAAATTCAACAGCAATATTTGTTGAAATTTTTTGAAACAAAGAAGAAAGTAGAAAGTTTGCTTTCTATGTGATGGAAATAAAACGTGCATAATTTGGCTATAAAAATCTTTTTAACTCAAAAATTGAAACCATTCGTTGAAAAAAAAAAGCATTTTAGAAGAGGTTTTTATTTTTTAAACTGTAACTTAGAATAACTGTTTGAAGATACGAATTTATAGTTTCCATTATCAATCAATCTTTTTTTTTTTTGAAATTTAAACTACATTTACTGGATGAGTAAATAGCTGAAAATATTATACATCACATAATGTAAATGATAACTTGAGAAATCTAAATGCAGATCCTAACAAATTTCAGAATTTCGTACCTTTAATTTATCACATTTTTTTTAGAAAAGAACATGAAAGGACACCGACATTTGTTAATTTGAAAAAACAAAGAAACAAACAAACAAAGCTTCATCACTACTGGTATAATATTTGCTGAAGCACTGCAAAAAAGAAACAGCTTCTTATATTTCGTTTGATGATTTTTTTTTGAAAAATATTTGAAAACGTCATAAATGTCCAGGAAAGAGCTTGTAGAATTTTAATAGCACTCGCTTAGCGATGCTTCCTTGAATGAAAAAAAAAATTTCTTCACTGAAACCGAGTTGACAATGAGTGTGTATTTAATTTGAAATTGATTAGTGTTAATCGATTGAAATCAATGAGGAATTATCAAGTATCATCACCACATATTGATCATGATTGTCCAAATGCGCATCAAAGCGATAGAAATTCTATTTCCAAATGATTCGAGAATTCAGGCTTAACTGTTTGATTAAGGTAGATAATGGCCTAAGATCTAAGAAAAGTCAGGGATAATCGAAAAAAAAAAGAAAAACGACACAAAACAACGTTAAAATATCGTAATTGTAGTATTTATCCAATGCCTAAGAATTTCAGAAGGTCAATGTCGTATAACTCAAATGTAATACAGCAAAATAGATCATTGATCTAATTCAAGAGAAAAGTAATTGCAGATATAAATTCTACCTGATAACAACCGATTGTAAATTAATTTTTCCTGTCACTGATATAGACTAGGAGGGGACAAGACTAGGACAAGTCACTAGGACAAGCATCTAGCACTTAGTACCACATCAGTTACCATATCAGTGGCAGAAAAAATTAATTTACAATTGGTTGTTATCAGATAGAGTTTATATCTGCAATTAAATAATGCCAGAATGATAATTGATAATAAATTATAATTTTGGCAGAAAATTTAATAAATTTTAATTTTAAGAATAGAAGAGAGCAAATGAAATAAGCATTTGTAATAATTCATATAACAACCTCTTCAGAAATGCTACGAAAAAAAAACGAAACAAATCTATGAAGTAATGGAAGTGAAATTTAAAAAATTCCTTCAACAGTGTAAAATTTAGAACAAATAGAGGAGACAGACCATATTAATGATTGAAATGTGAACAGACTAAATTACTAATTGTGTTATTCTTACACTAATTTAATATTCATGTAAACAACCAACCAATAGCATATATTTTAAGATCAATCAATTTCGCCATTCACTTGAAAAATCTTCATACTCAAGTAAACAACATTCCTAACATAGCTAAACTTAATCCAAAACTAATATCATTATAACACAATATTAACATGGAGACTATTGAAATATCTGTAACAAATGGCCTCAAATCATTTTATTTAATAATGGAAGAAATTTAATAAACATTCACTTCATTGTATAAGTTACATTTATGATTTTTAGAGTACAAGAGTATTATAAATTCCATGATTTCGATAGTCTTATCATTTCAGTGAGTAGATATTTGGCTAAATTCAAACAGAAATTGGAGTTAATTTTCGCGTTTTAAACTAAATTCCTTCAGCTGACAGGCAAAACAAAAGTAATAGTCTGAGAACAAAGAACTTTTCGAGGCATTTCAAAATGTTTTTTTTTCTTCCATCAAATGTGATCATTTTTCTGGGGAAAATCGAAATACTGGTCCAACAAAACATTTTATAAATGACATAACCTTGCTTTAATGCTTTTCTCGGTTAAGAAACTTTAACATACGCACATTTTTTTTTAAAGGCAAGCGAATGACTGTTTCTTTAAAACTTTATCCAAAATGTTTTTGATTAATTGATGAAGCATTTCTTTCCTTTTATCACTGATATCAAACTGTCAAAAATAGAATAAGTCTAGCGTTAGGAAGTGATTTTTCCTTCATTATAGGGCTAGAAACAAGTCAAGATTTTTCAAAGTTTATGATTAATGCTATTAAAGTCAGCAAGATATCCATATCTAACGCATTATTTATTCGTGTTGAAATGTCAATCATCAATAAACCAAAAATTTTTTGACACTCAAAAAGTCATATTCTTCCTGATATTACATTCCAAAAGAAATGTCAAGACGTATATTATATGCAAATAATTAATTTAAAATAAAAAAAAACTTTATCCAAAATGTTTTTATATAATTCCAAAAGACATTACCGCTTACAACAAATAAAAGTATCAGTAATGTGTGGTAACCCTGCAAATTTCAATGAGATCATCGATAATATGATAACGACTAGTGCCTAATTTCCGCGCCAAATCGTTCTTCTCTGGTAACGAAAGATGTAAATACTGCATCACCACATCACCATCCACCAAATTTCGAGTATTCTAAAAAATTTCATTTAAATCTTTCATATCGATTCCACTCTTCCCCACAATATTTCTTTATTGAGTGCCCCACATCAATAGAAGCATAAAAAATCACGTTTCCAGTATTGAGCAATTAATGAAGTGCAAAGTGAGACTTAAAAACTAACTAAATACTACTTACAATATTTTTATAAAACAAATGAAAATGAAACTACAGGAGGGAACTAACAAGGTAGTGATTGGGCCTTTGCGGTCGGGCTGCTCGTGCACCCTTGGCATTTAAACCGGCAGGTTGCAATACCATCGATGAAATTAACTGTTGCAACATATGTAAACGTCGAAAAACCTAACAAAGTATAAAATTAAACTATCCACTGAAGTAATGCTTTGTTGTAGATAATAAACTATTTATAACGGATCCAAATGTTTTGATGTAAAGAGACAAAAACATACTTTTTTATACGAAACTATGATGGTGCAAAAATTGTCAAATTATTTTAAATGTAAATCTGTTAATCCAATTCTCCGTCATAATAATGTCAAAAAATTGAAAACAGCAAACTTTTTCAGTAAGAGGTCGTAAATATCCCACGCTTCCATCTAATGAAGCAAACAAAACACTCTGTCGTTCCAATGAAAATAATTCATTCTCGACAAAACCACTTGAAATATGACCTAAAAAATATCATCGTTTTTTTCAAATCATAAACATGCTTCCACTTCTCTACAATGTATTGTAGAGATGAAAACGGCACGTTTACAGTGATATAATGCAATAAGTGAATGTTTGATAACTTCAGACAGTCAATGACCTCAGACAGCATATATCACTTATCATTATTTGAAACAATCTGACGAAAGTTTCAAAAATCTTTAACAAGACACTGACTCATATTTATTATTTTGATGATTACCTTTCACTCGAATAAATGCATTCACAACTGTACCAATATTAATCTCAGCTCGTAGTGTTAATTTTTCGCCTCCTAATGATTCTAGTGTTTCGGGCAAATAATTAAAAATAGCTATGTTGGCCGCTTCATCAGACATTATAAATCCCATTTGTTTGTTATCGATGATAAATTGAGCGGCCATTGGTGGCTGAACATCAGAACGCATATCACGGCTAGCCAACGACAACGCTTTATATTCTTCCTAAAAATAAGTTCAGGCGAATTAGTTATGTATTTCTTTTATTACTATTGAATCCAAAAGACTGTTCATTCATAAATAATGATCAAAATAATTACCTGATATCGCAATAAAGCTACTGAACGATACATATCGCATGCAAGGGCAAGATTCCGAACACCAATTAACTGGTGAACATAAAAATGCATATCCAGAAAAGATATTCCTTGAAGATTGTTATCTTTGAATAACCAAATGAACACCTAAAACCGAGATTTCTTTACCATATTACAATATTTTTAAGCTTCATAATGCTTTCTATTCCCCACAATCTGTTTTAAAAAAAGTTAACGAATCGTTGATTTTGATCAAATTTTTAACTCTTTATTATCAAAATAATCTAATTCTTTGGAGATGGAGATGACAAAATTGGAGAGTAGAAGACAGAAGAATAGCTTGGAAGAGAATGGTAACTTCCACATTATTTTAATCGATTAATTTACAAACCAGTTTGAGCATGCTTCTTGTCTTGTGAAATATAATCCATAGTATGATAAAAGAAAAAAAGGAGACTCGTACCTCAAACTTACACTTTTCCCTATTAAAACTGGGATCACAATCTTTCTAAAAATAAAATTTAGTGTGTGATTTAACATATTTCGCCATTAAAAAGCAACGAAATACCTTTTGACCCATGCCAGTCAATAAATAACCATTGCATGAGCACAAGCTGGTAACCGGTCCTTTTTGTTCCTTATCGTATAATGTTTTTATTCGATGTTTACTTGTTGGTTGACCTGGTTCTGGAACTACCTGAAATAAAATATAGAATACACAAAGATGAAATTAACATTCCCATTCTCATCCTATTTCATTTCTCAGACAAATATCATCGTTTGCTAACGCCAAGTAATTTAAACAAAAGATAAATTAAAAGGAAACAATACAATGGAAGGGAACATAAACTTCTTTCACGAAATTGATGCATAGACGCGTATGTCATACAATCACAACATCATTTGCAGTCGCGCTGCACTTAAAAATTAGGTACTAACTGATCGTAGCAATCGTAAGATTAATGCAGCTTCTTGATCAAAATTATTACTTCTATAATTTCCGAAATGATGATTCGACCTCGCACCAAAACTTCTTCACCATAGTTGCAAGCAGTCCCAATAGCTAGATAGTTCTGTACACCGGATACAGTGCCTTCAGATCGCAAAACAACTTCTTCACAACTTGTAACTACTTCGAATTCTTCAAAAAGTATTTCCACATTTTGCACTGGCTTCCAATCCTCTGGCGAATATAACTGGACCAAAATAATACTTATTATCGAAGAAAAGTAATCCACATGAAAAAGAAAAAAGAAAAGGGGGCTTCATCTGTAACAATTTCAACTGAAAAATATTAGGAAATCTCACAAAATCAAATATTAGCCTCCCATTTTGCTACGAATTTTATCCTAATTTTTCATAACGTTATTTCATATGCTGTAATCAAGCATAAATAATAACTTACATGTAACTTATATTGATCTATCTCCGGATAAACAAATGTATTCGGCTTCTCGTGCTCCTCGAAAGTTTTATCATCATTTATAAGTACACACATCTTCGTTACCTTCTTTTTCTCACTTGTTAACACGGCATAAGTATTTGAATGTAGTAAATATATAACATTATGTACAGTGGCTCCAACGTTTATTCTTTTGACTGGATATGATGTGTCAAGTATCATGTCACTCTAGAATATAATAGTTTAATCAAACGAAGTATTAAATATAATTGATTTAAACTTTCACTTTCTCAAGTTTTGCTCGATGCGAAAAGGCATTAAAAAAGAAAAACGAGGATAAAGCAAAAATAAGAATAGGGAAAAATTAGTAAAATCAAAAAAATCATTTATATCACACTTCTTATTTGCGTTTAAACTAACTAAAATTAAAAATTAAAAAAAAATCTATAAAAATTACTGGTAATTTTGCTACACGCATAAGCCGATCTCGTTCTGTCAAATAAATGAATCCATTTGGACAAGCAGCATTGTTGAAAGTAGTGAACGATAATATAGGCCCATCAAGATTAACAGGATGAAGGCGTGGTACACCAGATTCAAGGAAGAAAATACACGAATATGATGAACAAATAAAGACACCATTTAACTGAAAAAAATATGAAGAAAAAGACTCTTTGAACTGACTTAAATACATTTCGTTTCTTTTGTAGAAGAAATTAAAACATGTTAAAAACTTACCACATTTCCAATTCGTTCAAAAAAATGCAAAACAGTCTTATGTCTAACAGCATCTCGAACTGATTCAACTGCCGCTCGACCATTTAAACCTTGGAAACGACATGACCTAGTCACAGTTGTATATGGAAGTCGTTTGAACCTGTAACAATTATGGGAATCAACTACAAACTTTAAAAAGAAGTGAAAAATATTATTACGTGATAAAATACATCCGCATAGTTCCTTGTGCAATATCAAATTTATTTCAGAAAACCATCAATGCTAAATCTGAATAAAAAAGGTGAAAAATACCACTAGCTTTATAAAAAAGAGATAGCCTATTCACACTGTAGTTCGCCCTGCTTTACTTAACTTTAAATATCATATCACTGAAATCACCTTAATTTGGAACTTCCAAAAAACCTCAATCATTTCTAACATTCGGTAGAAAAACCGAAGTCTTAATTGCTTTTCTTTTTAAAAAAAAAACCGAAGTAGCTGTTTTCGACAAGGTGAACAAATCATAAAAGTAAGATAACTCATCTTAAAAATTAGTATTCTGATGTGACTCAAAGTTTGAGACCCATTTCATACTTTGAACAGAAAAATCGAGGGAAAACAAGTAATATTAAGAAAGAAAATGAGAATATACCGTATAGCGAGATGTCCTTGAATTCCATTATTGTAAATAAACATTTCATACACCGAAACCGTGTCATCAATAAGCAAAAAAAGCATTGGGCGTCCCTGATTCATTCCCATTCCAACAAGAAGCTATAAGTCTTAAATATATTTACTCTATATAAGCTTCATTTATTTTAAATTTTTCCGAAAACCAACTTCAACGACAGATTAAATATTACAAAAATACAATTTCTCGGCGACACTTTCGTTATCAAACCCATCCAACCTGTGGTCTGAGGAAAAATGTTAAAAAAATAGTCTGAGGAAAAATGTTAAAATATTTACCACTTCCATAATCACTTCTTCCGGTTTCGCGGCAAATGTATCAGTTATTGTTCCAGTCTCGGCACCTTCGCCCGCAATTGGCTCATCATCGACATATGGTTGATCTGTAGCAATATCAGGCAAATGACTAATTTTCTTTACCATATAAACTAAATGAAGTTCCGGTATGGAATATATGTATATGTTTCCGTTTTCTCGCGCAATCTGAAAATAAAATATTATATGAACAGCTCACGAATATGAATATCGTCAGATTCCTAAAACCTAACTGTTCATAATAAAAATATAAAGTTATCATCTAAATGCATTTTCAGATTCCGTCTATTATCAAATTACTCACCACAATCCAATGTGAAGGCACAATCGTATTTGGGTCGATCACATCTGTATCAAAACGAGTATTTTGTTCTGTTAACTTCATTCCAACGATTCTCCGTTTGGATACCATTTCTTTTTCTGCAACAAATATTAAATCAATAGTTTCAGCAAATAAGAGAAGTCCAAATTCACAAGCACTGTTATGCATTCCTGGAAAAATCATACGTCCAATCGTCGTAGACTTCAAAAGGATTCCCGAAACCGGCTGTCATACACTAATGAACAATATTCCAACCAATTTTATTATTCCCGTGCTTTTATTTCAAACTTGAATGAAACTGCACTAGAAAAAAGTTTTTGCAGAAGCATATAATGACGATGATAATGACATACTTAATTTCTTGGAATCCCCGTATAACAACAAATCATCTACATCCTCAAAATCTTCTTGCTCTGGAATTTGTACATTAGTGCCAGTTGTTTGCTGTTGATGAGACATATTTGTTGCAGAACAAAATCGAATAATTCCGCTCATATCACGATAAATTGATAAGGATGTTATCGGTGACGTCTCGTGACGCAATTTTTTTGAAATATCGATTTCCTGCAATACAAATTTGAAATCTCCAACTACAATTAACAAGTCAGATTCGGTATATTTCTGATTTAAAAGAAATTAATACAAATTTTGAAAATGCCATTACCTTCAGATGTACGTGCGGATGACTGGTTAATTCATACATTAATAATCTTCCATTTTGTGTACATATTGCAATATAGGGATCTACAATGGAAGCGCTCCGCACTGGGAACGTCAACTGAAGTGGTATATGCTGAATTTGCTGTCCCTCTGCAACCATTACCAAACTCGATGTAGTGACCTGAAAAACAAAAGCTCTATGGCCGCCAAGGGAAGAATAATAAATTTTACTCGAACTTTTTTTCTAAAAATTATACCTGAATAGCAAGACCACCGTCGGCTAATTCACCAGCAGCAATGGTTGACTCCGAAGTCACGAATATCGGTGCTTCCAACTCTACCAAATCATTATCTGTTTCTAATGCCAAAGTTCCCAGCTAACAAATTTTAAATATAAATTACGAATTCAGATCTTCTGATGATAACCAAGCATAAAGAGACATATCTCAAAAAGTATATCATATTCTAGTATGGATAAAATGCAGAAAGTTGTAATTTAAGCAGCCTTAAAAGACTAACAAAATAACTTTAATTCATAAGGCTTGAACCACAATGAATGGTTCAAACCTTACGAATTAAATTTATTTTGTTAATCGTTTTCTGATCATTTGATGCAATGTATCTGCTGATAATAGAGCAACAATGCTCATAGGGTATATATCAGCTTAATATAAGAGATACATTATTCCAACTCTTAAATTATTGAAACAGCGTTTGTTCATTTAGTGTAGTTGAATGTCTAGCCAAAAATTGCTATAACAAAAGCAGACTTCTCTCGAAGCGATGAAATACATGTGAGTATCGTCTTCACGTCGTCCAATAGCCCAATACTGCACGACTCCCTCAATACTGAAAAGAACTGATATCAGAAACACTATTCTGCCAACTTCAACCTCAACACAAAAAACTGATATATTGCAGACCAGTTTCACAAAAATGCCGACCATGAGAGAAGCAGATAACCAAAAATATATATTAAAGGTACTGAAGCTACCAAAACTTTTGTTCGAAAAAAGATCCTGCTCTTATTTTATTACATTTTTGAATAATTTAAACTTTTCAATTTCAACTTCAAATCATGTATAACCTCTGTTATCCTGAAAACTCCATATGAACTCCAACATAACTTTAATGTTTCGTAACATAGGAGACATCTGGATATTACCATACGAAAGTATAACTCCTATTATTTTCGAATGAATGAATACCTCTCAATGATACCGATACAAGTCTTACTGAATAAGCAACATCTAATCTTCATGCTCATCCATTTAAAAGAAACATAAAGTATACTACAAAAAGGTGAACTAACCTGCTACTTGTGATAATTTCAGGACGAATGCTTCTTTGAAATATGCAAATGCTTCCAAATTTTCCATGCCCACAGGCACATACCTAAAATTGTATAAGTTAGGACTAATTTCCATAGCGCTACTCAAATTCATTAATTTTCAAAAATTGTTTGACACCTCTCAGTCAATAAGAATGCCAAAGTTATTCAATACATTGTACTTCCGATAAAAAGTTGTATGCTAGATATGATCGTATACAATTCTCTGGAAGAAAGCTTAACGTATGCCTTAAAATGTTCTGTAAAAAATTCATCCATTGTGCATACTAACCAAAATAGTCGATTATTGTTTCAAAATAAACCTGGTTCCTAAAAGGCAGTTAAACTCTTCATTACTGCTATTCATTTAAGTTTGTCAACGAGACAAATATGCTAATCTTATTTATAAGGCAGATGTATTCCAAGCATATAAAACTATATTATTTTTCTTAGTATAATTCCTGCATTGAGTGAAACGAAAAAATCTTTTAAGAATACATACCTCGAAAATCTTTAAAAAACTTACTAAATCAAAAAGTGGATCTTTTCGAACTATTTCCTGAAAATAAGCACTGATACTTGGACAACCACCAGTTATTTTCTTGCACGGACCGATGTTAAGCAATTTATCAAGAACGCGAATATTCAACAGTTCTTCCATTGAATCCGTTTTTGCAACCTAAAACCGAAAATCATAAATAAGACCAAAAAAAAAAAGATTTACATAAATTAATTGGATATATAAACATAAAACATTCTAATAATGATAAAGAACGTGACATCCTTTTCAATATACGTTATAAACTGTAAGATATTGGTGATAAAGAAACAACACTTTTCTCCTACTGCTGAATCAACAGAATGCTAATAGTATCAACCTTCGGAAGCACTTCTCCATACAGCTCGAAATCTTCATCTTCTTCACTCGCATTTGGTTCGACATTCAATTTTATTTTCTTCGCAGAAGATTCTTCCAATACAGATTGCTCAAAAATGCAGTGAAGAAACACGGAGTCACAAAGACGAGAGCCAATAAAGAGATAGCCGGGTGCACAGGAAGTCATCGTACACGGGATCACTGTTTCTAAAGCAAATTACACCTTCAATGAAACTGCTTTTAAAAAACTTATAATTCGACCTTCCGATCAGATCAGGATTGGATTGTCACCATTATTACAAAAGTGATCTGCTTTCTATGATAAAGAATATAAATCAGTATGACAGTTTTCTTAAATGCTTTAAACTAAAATATATAGGACAATTAAAATGAATAACTCCTATTTAGAGTTTTTGATTAATTTCAAATTTTACAGAATACTCCAAGAACAGCGAGTAATTTATTCAAAATATATCTGAACAATTGTCCTTCCAGATCATCTTACTTACTAAGCTCTTGATTCAGGCAATAAGCGTATATTGTTTTCATAATATAATAAAACAGCACGCTTCAGTTCATTTCATTGAATAAAAATAAAAACTTTCATTCTTCAGCCCTCGAGAGTTATATGTTTTTAGCATTCAGACGTAACATAGTAAGATGATCTGGAAGTCAAATAAATTGCAAAAATAATAAACAGTTCTAGCTTATTACGATGAGAGATTTATTAACATTGAATCAGTGCAAATTATTCCAGAAAGTTATTTATAAAAACATTCAATTTTCTTTTCTTCAAAGCAAAAAAAAAAACTGAATTTTTCAGTTTCAAGAAAAAGAATGTGAACAAGGCTTCTTAACTCACCAAATTGAAACTTCAGTTCCAGTGATTTGACAGAATTCGTAGCGTCGGTAACTAAAACCAATGTAAACAACCGTCCATTGCGATCACATAGTAAAATCTAAAAATAATGAATAGCATATGCGAAATCTTTTTAATATTAAAATTGCTGGACGCCATAATTTGAAATTTATGAATTTCACACTCCTCACACTCCCAAGAATAAAAAAACCTATGAAAGGAATACCTATTGATTTTCAGAAAAGTTAAAAAATTTTGGAATAGGAAAACCTTATTTGTGGAAATAACAGTCACAACACAGCCGTCCAGTGTTAGAGCCATATGCTTGAAGTCTTTTAATGGAAATTTAGTATAACCATCCATGCAGCTGTTAAGCGATATACCTTCAAGAATATGAGTACAACCAAAACTTCAAAAGAACAAAACAATTTCTGACTTTCCACTAAGCTTTCAATGTCAGTTCTGAATTGGATAACAAGTATTCGTGATCAGAATTTTAAACTGAAAAAATTTTTAGACATTTGCGCAAAGTGCAAAAGCATCATCGATTCAAAAATCCAATAAACGATACTGCTATTTTGAATAAAATCAACAGCAATTAAATTTGAAGATAAGTGAAAGTGAAGTAGAAAAAATAACTAACCACATGGAGGGACGGACTGATTCAAATAGATAAGTTCATTTATAGCAACTATCAAAATTCCACCAACTGGTCTCGGAATTGGAAGAATCTACAAAGAGCGGAAAACATTGCAAAAGAGATATTTCCAATTAAAATGAAAAAAGCCAAGTCACTTATTTTAGAATACAAGTGATCACGAAAAACAAGAAGTTACCAAGAAAAGAAGATTACAGTGGCAAACAAGGGAATACTTATTTCATATTCTGTCTGCACAAAACAATTATTTCCCTTGATATTAACACGCGGCGTTAATTCCGTAAAGTCGAATGATGAATGTTTATGAATGGAATTTTAAAACTCAAAAAGTATTTTCAAACAGTGAAGCAAAGAAGAAATTATAATTCCAAAAACATATAAATAATCATACTGTTTCCAATGAAACCAATAGCCTAGGTATATTCATGGATTCAAACGCATCAAACATAAGGTGAAAAAGACAGGTGAAGACAAGATTAAGAATGATGAAAGAAATATTTTGAAAGAGCTAAAAATTTAGGGCTCAAAAACAAACCTGATTACAATCCATCGGTAGATTGCTTAAGTGCCACACGGAAGCAAGAGCTTGTTCCTTGACATTTAATGAGACACCCAATACACACATGGTATCAAAACGTACACAAGCTCTGCAAAACTACATTATATCAAATGATGTGTTCAAAAATTTTTAAACTCGAAATCTGTCACAGAGCAAATGAAGAATCATTCTATGTTGTTCTAAATATTAGATATATGATAACTGTTGAAATTAACAGTGTTTATATAATCAGGTAGCAAGATCAAAAGATTACCGCCCACAAGTAGTTTGAACGGGTTCATACAGAAATAATAATGTTGGTTCGTAGTAACCATCGAGGAAAGTCATATCCATCACATTCACCAAACGGGAATCAATTTGGGAAAGCTGAACCGTATATGAATGTAGTTGGGAGCTTGAGTCATTGAATGGCAACACAGCAAGATATCTGAAACAATAACAAACAAACAAAATATCTGAGGTATGAAACTATTCCAATATCAATAAGATACAGTACTAAAATATGAATGAATCTCCAAAAGAATTATTACATTTTAAAGTATAACGCTAACATATATCGATAACTAATAAAATTAGTGTTTTTGAAAGAATTTGAATAAACAAAGAAACACAAGCTTCAAATTTAATTGCAGCGAAGAAATAAGCATAAGGTTCATTGAAAGCGTATATTCTTTTTTTTAGTAAGGGAAAAAATGATATCTGAAAGCACATCAAAAATAATTACCTTCCAAAAACAAGCATAGCAGCGCATCGTTGACCTGGATCAACACGAATAACTGGACGAGGCAAATTCTTGGTGAATCCATCTTTTAGCAATTCATCTTCGAAGCAGTGCAAAGAAATTGTTTTTAAACAACGTTCAGCTGGATTTACACCAATAACAGAGAGTTTAGCATCATCAAATCCAAGCAAAAGACTATCACAGTCCGGGTTCTCTATAAATAATTTGTTTCAGTTGATGGAAAAATGGATATCGATAAAAAGATGTGGAATTTAGTACTCGAAGGGTTAAATTTTGTAAGAATAAACTACAATTCTTTTTGTTCTGGATGCATAGGTAAGCTTAGGAAGAAGTCCTTATTCTCCTTTTTCATATTTACAGTTTTCTTTTCAGTTCCTTCTTCTTCCGAAAAAAAATTCATTAAATCGTTAAATTCTTTTTAAACTAATTGAAAATTTTCAATACCAATTTCAAATGTTTTTGCCAAAGTAATCAAGGCCTCTTAAAAAGAAAAAAGAGAAAAATACTAACGTGGAATTCTGGCAACAGCAAATGATTGTACTGCTGCAAGCAATCGTACAGCTAATAAACATTCCAATCGTGTCGTCTGGGCCCACTGCTGATCATCTTTCAATAGTAAAGCATATGGATTAGCGCGAAAAATCCGCAAATATTTAACACCAATGGTAACTATTTGTAAACCTTTCTCCGGAAAAAATTTCCCACATTCACTAAAATTCACTGCGGTCGAATCATCCGTTTCATGAAGAATTGCATACATCCTACAAAATATATCTTGAAACTTAATCCCTTTGAAAATAAAAATATTACTGTGCGATTTGAAGATACCTTTCAAGAAACTGTATAATACATATCATCCAATCTATTAGCTATATCAATACTGTTTGCTTCTGAATAATAAGATGCATGAAATCATAAATTTTCACGTTATTCAGTTCCAGACAATTAAAATTTTCCAAGAAAAAAAAATTCGAAAGAATAGCCGCAAAAACATTCTTCAGATTGCACAAAAATTGCTTAGATCTCTAATACCTTGCAACAATTTACAAGATGAATACACTCTATGTATAGGACTGTACCTAAAATAAGTTATGTAAGCACTCACCTTTACCTATTCCCGATTACTCTAAGACTTCTTTAGCTTTATATCTGTAAAAGTATATTTCAAAACTTCAGACAGCATCTAAACAGTAATTTTTGCTTACAAAACATGTTTAGATCTCACATCAGAAATTGGTACCACTAGTTTGAAGGCAATTTTAAGCAGAACGAAATCTGAGCGTATGAAAAAGATTTAGCTTACTCATCACTGAATTGTCCAATCTTGCTAGCAAATCGGATAGATCAATGAATAAGGCAATAAAATAAGCAAGTAATTAAAAACAATGTGCTTAACATCAAGTTAGATGACCAAAATATGCAGATGATTTTATTAAAACTTAAAAGTTGAATTTATAGTATTACACAAAATAATGGAAATTTGAAATATTCTACAGCACGATTAATTAGCAAAGCCAAACAGTGAGAAAACTATATGGGAGAAATAATGATAAAACAAGTGAATGTTACCCGATTAATGCATAGTATATCAAAGACTTTAGCAATGAACAATTGATTGCAAAACTTCAATATTTTCAGCTCAAAAAAATATACTCCCTGAAATACGTATAATACACAACATCTCTATTTTTTTTAATTTTGGCCTATAACAATCAACTGATAGCTTTCCATAACTTTTAAAATTTTAGTTTGTTATTATAAAAATCTATAAAAAAAGTACTTCTAACGTCGACTATCATTAGTTCTTTGTTTCATAATTCTTGCATTAAAATTTATTTTCTAAAGTGAAAGGAAAATCGCAGTTTCATATAAATTTCGTTTCGTGTAATGCCGAAAAGTGCTTATCACATTCAAAGTTTTGTTTTTTGCCAATGCTATTATCATGACACTGATAGTGAGACATAAAATAATTGACACTGCATAGCACGAGCTTATTTTCATATATGTAAAAGTTAAGGTAACTTAGCACCAGATGGGAAAAGACCTTCAAAACTCCTTAAACATGTAAAAATAAATATGATTCAACAAAGACAAAGAGAAAAATCAAAAGTCGAAATAATAAAACAAACTAAAAAAGAACTAATTCTTTAGAAAATGGTACTGATTTATTCCAGGTGCTTCTGGTGATTTATTGTTCGTTCTGTTCACATATGAAAATATATTTTCACCTGCAAAAAAATAGAATTAATAAATAAAACAATAAATGAAAAAACACAAATACCTCACCAGGTCATGATAAAGAATGACCAAAAATTCTGAAAATTTGACGCATAAAACCAAAACTTCCCTCCATCCTATACAAATAATCAAAATGTGAAAAACATGAATAGTTATAACAGACTTCAAGTCCTAAATAATTACATAATTAGTAAAAAGGGAAATGTTACCGAATGATATTAACGAACAAGAAGGATCTGTGTTGACAGTTCTTACTTCACTGTTGTTGTCTTCATCATTTCGAACTAAAATTTTGAGAATAGTATTAAAGAAAATGAAACTGTCTTATATAATTTGATTAACTTCACACAAACATCTTTCTGAGTTGTTACTTCATTGTTTAACAATAAATCAGAACTAACCATGTTCATTAATTGATTCGTGTGAGAAAGTAAGACTAGCTGTTTGCACTGATCGATCACCTTCCGTATCTAAAAGCATTTTGAATATTAGTTAGCTAATTACTAACTTAATAATAATATGAAAAATTAAATCAATACCACTTCCTCCATATGATAATTCCATCATACTTCGTTGATCTGAACAAGATTGTGCCTCCACATCTCCTTCAGTATTGCTCGAAACTTTATTCGATGTTTGCTAAAATTTTATCCTTAAATGAGGAATAGATTCTCAACTTCAATTCTTATCAAACAAAATTGGTTAAGAATCTAAAATTCTGGATGCCTGATTTACTAACCAGTGACTGACTTGCCTGATATAGTAAAGTTGTTTTAGAGAAACTTGAATTTCGAAAGGAATGCACGTCAATGCTTTTGCACAGTTCATTTGAAGCCTAAAAATATCATATGTAGTAATTTTGTTGCCATTTCTGATAACCATTATATTATATTAAAAAACATAATGTGTGCACTACTTATTACAACTATTAGACCTTAACCGCTACACTAGCAGATTTCATATTGAAAAGCTTCTACGCTCAGCCATTAAACAAGATGGCATAATCCACTTAAAAAAGCTTACCATTAACATCCTAATAAAAAGGGACCACAAAAGATTAGCTGCATCAGAAATTTCAGTCGAACATCTTTTGAAATAAGTTTAAAAAAAAAGAACAACTTAAACAAAAACGTCTCAAAGCATACCTCTGCGAAGCAAGTGTTACTATTATTATTCTCAGCCTGCTTATTGAGTTTCTTGCGCCTTTTAGGAATGAAATAGTTTCCTTCGTCGTTATTTCCCTCTAAAAATTTTGTCGAATTCTATGAATACCATATTACATTCTAGTTATGCTTAAAAAATAAACTGTACCTTGTTGAAAGACCGGGTCTTCTTCGACACACTGTTTTGTCTCAAAGACATTTGCTTCGTGGAAGCTATGAGACCTTGAATTCTCAGCAATAATTTTACAGTGTTCTTTATCAATAACATTCTGTCTGTTTGCAGTGGAAAGAAGCGCATCTCCGGTTACATTCCCTGCATGATATGAATATGATTTATCGGCAATCAATTTTGACGGATATGTATCACCAAAGTTTGGTGACGAAGTTTGATTAACGTAGTGCACCGAGTTTAAATTTCGATTACTTCCAGAAGAATTAATCCATTTTGATGTTTCATGTTGATTAATGGTTCCTAGTGACTGTCCAAAGCGAACATCGGTTGACGAAGGTCCGTTGAATCCTTCCAACTTGAGTTCCTGGTCAAAAAAATTCGTCCTAAGTTTACGGATTTTCTCGGAAATATTACTGCGGCTCTCATCATCATTTGCAGCTTCATCCAAATTAGTACCTGAAACAAACATTTTTTTTATTTTTTTTAGAGATAGCAATACCAAAATTAGAACCGAAGCATTAACCTGATAATAAGACGATTCGAATTAGCTTATCTGCAAAATCCTTCCTCTAAACTTCAAGTGTTTTTCTTTCAAGCACTTTTTAACTATAATCACCTGATAATGGTGTTTGTTTTCTTTCAAAATTATCTTCTTTTACAGCAGTGATACGTAGAGGTATCGGAGAAGTGGGTGGCTTCGGTGGTATATTTTCACACAAATTAATAGCATTAGAAATCGTCTCAGGTTGTCCATCTAGAATTAAATTATTTCTTAAACAAACAACTCATATATCAGAAATGGTAAAAACATTTTGCATGAAAATCAAAACTAATAAATTATATCACAAAATCGTAGACAGTAAAATACTGTAATGTTCCTCATTTTTAAATATTGAATCGATTTTTCACTTATATTTCCAAAATGCATTAACTACATGATAATATACAAACCGTAACTGGTGCAGGATGTTGAAGGGATATTCTGATTGTCGCAAGAGGGTTGATTAGTGGATGTCGTTGAGATATGTAACTGCAATTAAGAGTAACATGAAGTACAAACACGAATGTGAACAACCAAGAAAGTAAAAAACAGAAAAATCGTGTCATTATCTATGCTCATGATAGAGGAATGCAATCCAAACGGATCACAACAAACAATTACAACACTAGATTTAACCGTATATCATTATCAAGCAATCTACTTGTTTTGTGTCAAATTTCTTGCCATCAAAATCACCTAAATATCTGGTTAGATCTATTACAAATTTGCTCTTTTCTTTTTATTTCAATATTTTATTATTCGTTTCTGAAGAAAAACTGAACTGTTTCATAATCACTACCACCAATCGATGAATAATAATGTTCTCGAATTGGTCCACAACCATCAGTTATAACTGACTGAGGTATATTGGAAGATGGATTAAACTCATTTAGCCGCTGTCGAATAGCATCAACAGTTTCTCGTACCGTTATATACCGATACGACGGTTCTCGACTTGTCTAGAATAATTGTATAAGATTCAAATTTAATTAACTTGACCAAATAATTCCAGGAATCATCCAAATGTTACTATCAGCTTGTTAATGAGCTAAACCACATACCAAGATGAATAAATCGTGTGCTTTCTGAAAGTCACGAAACGTAGAAAAATGAGTTAACTGTGCTTAAGATTTAAGATAAATCTTACTGTAAGATTTTCTACTGTAAGATTTTCAGTTTTAATCAAGTAGTTCTTAAAAAAGTAGTAAGATGGTTCCATAAAATAAATTTTCACAATTTTGTCATAATTTTCAACAACATTACCTTGTCGCTTCCACTTGAAACATACTCAATACCATATTCATTTGAGGGTAGAGGTCGATATATGGATGAATTTGTAGCCCTGTTCATCGACGGACCGCGTCGAATCTGAAACCCACGATGAGCAAATAGTGCAATAAACAAAGTCAATAATGAAATTTGTTTTTAAAGTGCTCTTTAAAAAAAAGTAAACATTGGCTTAGACTTTAAGAGAATTAATAAAATGTCAGCACAAATATTTGTTGGAACACCGGAAGTTCTGTGATCATAAAGATGGGAAAGATATAAAAAAACAAGTTGAGCGTAAAATTCCATGCTGATTATGTCTAAAGGCGTATATAAAACCTACCCGTGAATAGAGGTGATCGAGAGTGCGACTTTCTCCTTGCGTATTAGCAAGATAGTGTGGTGGCTCCGTATTCATGTTTTCTCTTACATGACTTATATGACTGTATCCAATGTCATAATTCGTTTCACCGCCTGTATGACTTGTTATTGAGCTGAAAAATGAGAGAATCTAAATAATTCCTCGAAAATTTCATTCAGTTATAAAATCATGTTTGGTATGAACATAGATGAAACCGATCATACATCGATGTTAGTTCTTATGTTAAAAATGATCAAATACCAAGCATAATGCATTTAAAACAATTGCTTAGCGACGTATGCAACATATTAAACAGGACATGAATCAATCTGCCAAGATTTACCAAGTTTCATTTTTTTTTCTCTCTTCGTAGATATTCGATTAATAAAATATCCTTTGTTACAAGAAAAGAATTACCTGTATGGATCTTCGCTAACACCTGCATAAATCTGTGAAGCACTCTGATAAACTACATCATCTGCAGCGATTACTGGTTGATTTTCCGGTGTAAAAATTGGATAATCATAGCGTTTCATAGATGGACCACCATTTCCTAACTAAAATATCTGTATTTTTTCCACGTTCACAGCTAGAGTTCTAATAAAACTAATTCATCATCCGTTGATGTTCAGAATGACAGTATCAGACATCTTTGTGACACTATTATTCTGAACTAGGTTTGATTATTTAAATCTCCTGCATGTGGAAAAGATCACTAAACATCAATACGTTCATTCTTATTACTACTGAAATCTTTACTTTATCAACCGAAATGCATCAGATAAAAGCATAAAACTTTCAATTATGTTGTTTCCTCAAGTCTAATAAAGGTGGTCATCAAACCTTCGAATATAAAGGATCCATATCAATAGATTCATAAGTTGGGTTTGTTGGTCCTTCACCATATAAAAATGAACCAATTCGACCGACAGCAGGTATTGCATGATCGATTGTTGAGTATGCTGCACTTGGATTTTTCTCAAATCGCGCTGAATGTTCAGGTAATCTATAAGTGTAACAGTAAGATGGAAAATAACAAAACATAAGTTCTGAATATTTTTTAGACAGGGTAATATTGAATTTATTCTGTGACATTACACTACATAAAATGTATGATTCGTTCACAAATTACCAGCAGAACGGAAAGCTAAATCCAATATGAATTCATGGAACTTTTAGAACAGTTCAGCAAATTAAACGCATATCTCATTTTAGCATAGTTAATTTTTATGACAAAAGAACTTGCTTTGGTAAAGCTCGCTTCGCCGCAGCAGAAGAGTGAGGAAGTGGAGCGGAAAGCCGATGAACTGATCGTTCATGGAGACTCTAAAAAATATAGAATGAAGTATACTGAAAGAAATGAACTTTGCACAATTCTACATAGACGAGAAAGATGTCAATAAGGTACGAGAACAGAAATATGCCATGCCTTAAATAATCAAATCACAATCAGCCATGTGTGAGTCGATCTCTTAAACCTAAATCATTGATGAAACTATCATTAACTAAAAAGCTGCAAAAACACTTCGTTGATCAGATAAAACAAACTAGGTTAGGACAGGAAAGACGACTGAGATGATGAAGCCGAGATCCATCAGTTCTGTTTCTAGAAACAACTGCTGAAACAGAGATATCTGCAGTTGGTGTTGTGGCAATTTCACCATAGGGATTTTCCTTTCTGAAATTTTAATACAAATTGCAAAAAGAAAAATCAAAATAATTATATTAAAAAGAATCAATTGAAAGAAATTAAGTAAAATCGATAATAATGGATAAACTCCTTGCATTTTAGCATAAAAAATACAATTACACAATTATATTATTTGAGTAGAATGTCTACTTCTGAAAAATTATTGCATTTTTTATTGTGATAACTTTTACCAACTATAACAAAATAAAAGATCATGATTTTAACTTGCTAGTGATTCCACTTCATCAAATGTTCATATTTCCTTTTTTCTTGCTTTGTTTATTGTCTTATATTATAATACTAGAGGATAATACTCTCCTACATTATATATTACATTATACTACTGATTCTTCTATATTACATTACTCATTATAAACAACGATAATAGTAAAATAATAAACAAAGCTGGAAAAATTATGAGTATAATTGTTATCCAGTTAGGCAAAAGAACTTACTTCTTCGCGTTCCGGCAACAGTGTGTTGTTACACAAAGCGTTAGCAATGAAACCATGGTACTTACCGAGAAAATCTAAAAACAAAAATAAAGTTATATCTGTACAAAAAATAAATTTGGGAAAAAAACAAGGGATGTAGAAGCTAACAAGAGCTTTACAAGATAGTAAACTAAAAGTAACCATTTAATCAGTAGCGGGTTTAACTTATTTTCAACAATAGCCTATATGTTCTGCCTAATATATATATATATACAATCACGAATACAAAACCAGTGAAAGACATGCTGTAAGGATAAAATACCATTCGAAATTCCCAAAATCTCTATATTATAAACGAAAAGCAAACATAAAAATAAAAATAAAATTTAACAAACTCACAGCAATGATAACATGTGGCCACACAAGTAATCCTGGTTCAGCTATTGGAGCGTGAGATGTCAATAACATATTTGGAACATC